CCAAGAAGTTCTCTAACCAGGAGTCTCCGCAAAAGACCTGCAGCAGACGGGGAATGGTTTGCAACGCCATGCGAGAGCGAGGCTAAATGAGAGGAACGATGTGGAACGATTAGGCATTGCTTTCCACTGCCTTGCGCTAGGGTCCCAGTAGGTTCCCCAGACGGTGCTTGCACTAGAGTTCCTTGCGTCGGTGGTCAGAACTTGAGTGGGTCGGCCAAGGTTTCGTCACGTGCCCGCCCATGCCGCATCGTTGGCGCTCGTGAGTCCCACGCGATATAGCTTGCACCGGTCATTCCTCTCCGCATAGCTTCCACGTCGCTGTCCCCAACACATTATGCATACCACCTGCCTTTCCACCAACTTCCACCCTGTAGATACCACCACGTCGCCCGTATTACATATATTACATTACATAGTTACCACCGTATAGCTAACACCGAAAGGTTTTCACCGCATCGTTCACACCATAAGGTCGCCACAACATAGCTCGCATCACATAGTTTAAGCCGCAGAACGTTCACAGTCGAAGTTCAACACCTCACTCTTCGGAGTCTAGGATGGTTCATATATTTGTTGGTTGTATGCCGTTGGGAGCCGCTGGAAGCCGCCGGGCTTCTTGGAGCTTCTGCAACATTAGGCGGTTTGGGTTCGACGTTGGCCTCCACGTGCCGCTAGAACCCCCAGGGCCTGAAAAGCAGATCACGGAGTAAAGAAAACGACCCCAAAAAAACAATTTGTCCTCCATAACGGTAGGTTTACGTCGTGTCGACGCAGCGGCGATACCAGCGCGGGCGTTCGGAATGACCGCGGCCAGTGGTCAGGAATCGGCCCGTGTTGAATGGGAATGCGCGATCGTTCACGGCTGAACGACCCAAGCGGTGTCACAAATCGCCGCGCAGGCCGTTACGACATTTGCCGGCGCAGGAAACAGCGAAGAAGGCGCGTCATTTTGGTTAAACGTTTTTCTGAGCCTCCAGGTGGCGTTCTCGTCGCCACATCGCCGGGTCCACCTCGAAATTCGATTCAACCACATCAAAGAAATTTCGGGTGGCGCAAGATAATGTAAATCGAGGGCGAAAACATATAAGGAACGTGTCAGGGGACTTGAAATGAAACAGCTCAATTTCAAAAGCCACGGAGGACGACGCCAAGCGCCACGATATGAGAAGCTTGAAGGGCCAAGGTGCGTAGCGCGAAGTGCCAACGAAGCCCTGTATACATGTGTCTACATACATACGTGCTTGCATCCCTCCCCCTCCCTCCCTTCATGGGTCGGCGCGAAGCCCCTTCCACTGGGGAGTGGGGGCGAGGCGGAGAGGGGGAAAGCAGAGCAAGGGGCGGAGGCGACCGACCACGAAGGCGGCGCCAGCGACGACGACGACGACGGCGCGCACAGGCGCGACGACGATGACGGCAATTGCGACGGCGACGGCGACGGCGACGACGACGCAACAACGACGCTGCGTGCAGGAGCGACGACGACGGCGCACGCAGGAGCGCGAGGGCCTCGAGCTGGTGGGGCGGCTGCGCGCGCCCCTGCGCGTGGCGGTCTTCGTGGGCGACGGGCGCAGCGGCAAGTCGCACCTGGCCTCGGAGGCCCATCCCAGAATCGAGGAAGCGCAAACGATTGAGGGCGAGGAGGAGGAGGAAGAGGAGGAGGAGGAGGAGGAGGAAGAGGAGGAGGAGGAGGCGAGGATGAGGAGGAGGAAGAGGAGGAGGAAGAGGAGGAGGAGGCGGAGAGGGAGGAGGAGAGGGAGGAGGAGGAGGAGGAGGCGAAGGAGGAGGAGCGGCCAGGGGGGCGGAGGAGGAGCCCCCTCCTGGGGCCCGGGGCGGGCACCTCCACGATCTCCGCGTGGGGTGGGGGGAGGCCGCGGATCCCGCGGCGCGCGGAGGAGCGGCGGGCCTCGCTGCCGTGCAGACCCGGCGCGCTCCGCGCGTCATGCCTCGGGGGGTGCGCCCACGCGCCCACGATCCACGGATGCCCACGATCCACGCGCCCACGTGGGGCGGCACGGGCGTCCTGCAAAGGGGGGTGTGCCCCCGCGCCCACGATCCACGGATGCCCAGTTCTATCAAGGGGGGAAGAAGCACACAGACACAATGAATCGTCGACTCCCCAGAAAATATTGGAAAATAGGGGAAGTGGCGGGGAAGACAAAAACCCAGCAAATATAGGAAAATATGGGGAATCGATTTATTTGTGTGTATTTATTTGTGTGTCCCAGGGCCCCTTCATTCTAGGCCTCCCAGATGGGGTCGAGGAGTAAGTGGGGTCGGAGGATCGCACCGCATCGCTGGTGCGTCGACGGTGCGGCTCGGTGTGGAGCCCGTGTTTCCGCACGCCGATGCATCGCCGATGCGTCGCTGGCGTCGCCGATGCGTCGCCGATGCATCGGCGATGCATTGGCGATGCGGCGCGATCCTTAGACCCCATGTTCTCGGACCCCACCTAGGAGGCCTCCACTAATCCGCGTTCGCGTGCGCCCGACAGAAACGTTGGACGACGGTCGGGATGTGGCGCGTTCCAGGATCTGGCAGAAAAGAGAGAGAGAGAGAGAGAGACGCATGAGCATCGACTGCTGGAGCTCCGAAAGTGTATGTTCATGCCGTGTTCCTCCCTCAGGGACTTGAGGCCTCCCAGACGGGGTGAGATCATATAGGGTCGGCGGACTCCACCGCATCGCCGATGCATCGGCAATGCGGCTCGATGTGGAGCCGGTTTCTTTCTTCACGCCGACGGCGCCGCATATCGCCGATGCATCGGCGATGCGGCGCGATCCTCCGACCCCATCTACTCTGACCCCGTCTGGGAGGTCTCTTCTACAGGGCATCGCCTGCATGGGGCGCATCTCGCCTTCGGCAGAAGCCATCGGATGAAGACGCGACGGCTCCGCCAGCGGAAGGGCAGCAACATGCCGGCGAAAGGCGGCAGAAGCTAAATCGAGGCGTCGACATGTTTGGAGTCGGGGCTTCCTGAATCGGCCACACGAGCGACGACGGAAGAAAACGGGATCGATGGGGCCGATCTTTGCGCGCAAGTCTCTCGCGCAAAGTCCCGCGCGCAAGCGCCCTGGTCTCCGCGCAGTGTGCCACGTGGGCGGCCCGCTGAAGCCGCGGCGTGAGGCGCTATGTCGTCTCGCGTAAGACCCGATTCCCTTCGTCGCTCCTACGGGTACGGCAGGTCCCCGCCGCGTCGACGCAGCGGCGACCCCAGCGCGGGAGCTCGAGGCCGAACGCCGCTGGTGGCACGGAGGCGGCCGGCGTCGAACGAGCCGCGCTGTCCGAACGCCGCTGCCGCACGAGGTTTTGAGCGATCCACGCGGCGTCAGAAGCTAGCGCCGATACCGTTGTGGCACGAACCAGCTCGAAAGACAAAACGCGCCATGAACATAGTTTGTTGGCGTTCGGCGCGGATTTTTTGGATCTGGACTGCGCCCCCACGGCGGCGCCTCCGGCGCCGCCCGTGGCACGCTCCACGCGCCAGGAAGGGAGCTGTAGCACAAATCCGAAAAGTCCGCGCGGAGCGCCAACAGTTTATGTTTATGGTGTTCTTTTCCTCGTCGAAGGAAACGAGCCTGAGGCAGCTCAAAATGTGTCACGTTAAGCATTCGTGCCTACAGGCCTATTTCGAGCTGATCCATCTGGTTCGTTGTCGAGTTTGGCCTGCCCAGTCCGACGCGAATCCGATATGCCGACGATCCGACGCGGCTTGCACGGCGTCGTCGTGCATCTTCGCTCGGCTGGCTTGATTTGATTCCGACGCTGTACCGATGCGGCCCGATCCGACGCAAATCCCGCCCCGATCCGGCCTCCCGATCCGATGCTGACCGATCTTTTGCAACTGTGTGCCGAGAAGCGTTGGGCCCCCCCACACGTTCGACAGCACCGCAGATACGGTCGGACTGAGGTATAAGATCGAAGTCGGTTCGGGGAGGGTACACTAATGTTCTTCGTGTCTGTTGGATGTTCTTGTGCACCCTGGGGAGGGTACCCTTGGATGTTCTGTGCGTTTTGGCAGGCGGAAAATCTCGTGCTCTTGAGGGATGCGCTTCTGCCCTAGGCTCGACTGCATGCGCACGTCAGGAGCTAACTAGGGCAGAGTTTCCTGATGCATTCCTGACTCCTGCTCCTGATTAGACCGCCGCCGCCGCACGCCGCATCCTTAGGGGAACGAAGAATGACGTAAACATAAAAACTCGGAGGTCCGCGCGGATTTCTCGGATCCACGCTGGACGCCCCTGGCGGCGCCTCCGGCGCCGCCCCTGGCGCGCTCCGCGCGCCAGGGAGGGGGATCCAGCGCCGATCCGAGAAATCCGCGCAGACCCCCGAGTTTGAAATGTTTATGTCGTTCTTCCTTCCCCTAATCCTCGCTCGGCCCGCGCACCGCGGGGCGCGGTGCGCGAAGAGGTATCGGTCACGCGCAGAGAGGGGTGGGGGGTGGGGGGAGGGGCTTCTCAGAAGCACCCCTGCTTCTTAGCAGGCGTGGGCCTCATCTACAGATGCAAGGAAGGCGCCTTCTGAGAAGCAGCCTCCTTCTGAGAGGCCCTCCCCCCCTCCCCCCACCCCCCTGGTGCGCGCCGCCGAAGGCAGGCGACCTGGAGAGGGAGAGGGTGCATCCTTCTGAGAGGCCCTCCCTCCGCCCCCCGTGTGCACGCCGCCAAAGGTATCAGGAGGAGAACAAACACACTGGCACAATGAATCGTCGAGTCCCTAGAAAACATGGGAAAACATGGGAAGTGGGGGGGAAGACAAAAGCCAAGAAAATATGGGGAAACAGGGGGCATCCGGTTATTTCTGTGTCTTTATTATCTTGCACAGGGTGTCTAGAGCTCCGACCACTTTATTTCGGCGTCGTCGTCGCTCCCCCCCAGCTGCCTTGTGCCCTTCATGTGTCGCTATATGTGTCGCTGTGTGCCTTGTGCCCGTCATGTGCCGCTATATGTGTCGCTGTGTGTCGCTATGCGTCTCCATATGTGCGTCGCTATGTGTCGCTGTGTGTCGCTATGCGTCGGTATGTGTGTGTCGACATATGTCTCTATATGTCGATATGTGTCGACATGTGTCGCTATGCGTCGCTCCCCAGTACCCCAGCGCACCGCCCCCTCCGCCCCGACGACTTTATTTCGGCGTCGTCGTCGCCCCCCCCCCTCTCCCTCTCCTCAGCAGCCCAGCGCGCTGCCCCCTCCGCCCCGACCACTTTATTTCGGCGTCGACGTCGCCCCCCCATGACTTTTTCCCCAGCAGCCCACGGCCGCCCGCGCCGCCCGACACTTTATTCGGCGGTCGTCGTCCGTCCCCCCCCCCCCCCCATCCATTCCCCCCTCTCCCCGAGCAGCCCAGCGCGCCGCCCCCTCGCCCCGAACCACTTTAAATTCGGCGTCGTCGACGCCCCCCCCCCCCCCCACACTTTCTCCCCAGCAGCCCAGTCCAGCGCACCGCCCCCCTCCGCCCCGACCATTGTATTATTTTGCACAGGGCGTCTAGAGCCCCGACCATTTTATTTCGCGTCGCTCCCCCCCCCCGCGTCCTCAGCGCCAGAGTGGGGCCCCCGCGCCGTGGCTCTCTGCCCCAA